TGTATGTTCTAGTACGCACTAGACACGCAACAACTTCTTTAGGAACAGAATAATTACTTTTTAAACATACAATATTTGTTAACTTGTCAAAAATTTTGTCCTCTATACTGAAAGAAGTATCATGAAATTTCTTAAATTCTTCTTCCATAATTTTTGTTACGTTTTGAAGTTTTTCGGAAGGGTACATGCAATTTCCTCGTGATATCGTGCAAATCCAATCATCATTAGGTGAATTTGGCAGATCTTTTGTATAATCAATGCTTGAATAAACAGATGTTAATTTTTATTTTTAATATAAATAATTAAATATTTATAATTTAAAAATTTAAAAATTAGAATTATAAATTATTATATTTAGAGCTTATATTTATAAATTATTTGAAAATATTTTATTTAGCGCTTTAAATATAAATAAATTTAACAGCGATGTATATTACACAATCAAACTCATAACCTTCAGGCTTATACATATATTCTTTTGTTAAAAAGATTGTCATGGAAGATGCCATGTTGCTTTTTAGCATTTGTGGGCAGACTCTGATTGGTTGAAGAGCAGACGCTACTTTGAACCACTGCGCATCCTTGGGAATGATTCACCTGTTTTCTTACACCATGGATGAGACTAGACGCGTACGGCTAAGTGCTTTTTTGCACTTATATTTGGCATTATTAAAAAAGGGCGTTTCCTTTAATGCAACGATATCTTGCATGGATTTTTTCTTGTCGATATCTCGATGAATGATCGAGAAACGGTGCAATTGCGAGGTGCACAATTTATTAAAAAGATTGTAGTAAATTTTCAATAATTTGGCTAAAAATAATTTTCGGCAAAATTTCAGAAAAATGCAATGTATTTTCGAAAAAATTTCAGTAAATTTTTAGAGAAACTGTTGGCAACATTTGTGAAGAAATTTCAATTCAATTTCAGCGACTTTTCACTATTTTTGCTGAAAAAATCACTTTCAGTGAATTTTTAGCAATTTTACTAAAATACTATTTTAGTAAAAACAAAACATCCACAAAATTTCAGCAAAATTTGTTTACCCGAAATTTCTGGAAATATTTTTTTTATATTTCCTCACAAAACTTTCAGTGCAAAGTTTCATGCAATTTGAATATAGTTCGATATATATGCAAAAGATAATTAATAATTCTTAATGGTAAACAACATAGGAAATTCTTATATTAAAACAGAACAGCGAATTCATGATGTGTACCATATTATTACGCCCGTGCTTCCCGGTGTCGGCCGAGCATAAGTTGCGCCGACCGAAATCGTCTGCGGAAGCGGACAAGGGAGAGTTGCTCCCTTAGCAACGTGTTGTTTGGCGGGACTCTGAGATTGGCGCGAGTTTGACATTTACGCTTTGATGTATTAAGTGTTAATAAACGTTACAGTTTTTTTGTAAACGAGTGTGTTCTTTTCCGCGCGAGCTCGCGAGTGTCACCGTCTTTGCCGCAGGCGCGAGTGCAATAGTAAGCGCGAGCGTAACAATATTATACATGTTATAGCTAGAATATACATGAATAGAATTTTTTAAAATTTGATACAAAGTAAAAAACAATTTAGTACTGTATATTTTTACTTATTTTTAGCAACAAATATAATTGAACAAATATAATCTTGTTTTCATCTCGATCTTGAGATTGCCACAAAAATGCAAAATAAAATAAAATGTGTAAATTAAATAAAAAATTAAAACAAATTTTTCTAAAGTTTGAAAAGAATTGTAAAAATTACGTTGATTATATACAATTTTCTTTTACAATTGATTGATATTATAATCATTTCGATGTTATAATACTCATCACAGAAATAAGAGGTCTAACAAGTTTTAAATAAAAGTATTATAATTTAACATAAATTTTTTTTAATTTGTATTTTATAAATTTAAGTAGTATGCTTAGCGTAATAAAAACAAAGATTGTTCTTCCATCATTCAGATTTTAGAATACATCTTGAAAGGGAAAGTGGGCTTTGTCTGGTTCAATAAGATCAGCGAGAAAGCAGGCGGTACCGGCAATGCCTTCATAAAGTGAATATGGCGAATCAGGAATACGAGCATCAACTTGAAACTGAGGCAAATTCATAAAATCCGCAAATTTAGCGGCGCGATAAAGATAACGCTTATCACCAACGAGCCTGTATAGAAGGAGAAAAACGTAGCCATTGCCCGCTACTCCGTGACAAATTCCAGGACCTTTACGCAAAAGACCTTTGCGCCAAACGAGATCACCCGCGCGTTTGCATGAGTCTAAATAACGTTGGTCTTTCCAGCGCAAATATGCTGCCGCCATCATGTAAATAACGCCAGGAGCACCGTGACACCAATGTACCAACTCATCGTCAGTATCTCTAAGGCTTCGTCCAGAACGATCTACTTCATCCATAGAGCATGGAAAATTGCCGGTCGTTGTTTGTAGGCTCAACAGATAATCTACGCATGTTCGCACAGTTTTGTCAATATCTGCATCAGTATCGAGAAATGACGGTACCTAAATATAAAAAAAATAATTAAAATGTTAAAAGCATTATATGCATATATACTATATACATATGACTATAACGATAATCAAATAATAAGAAAATAAACGCCAGTATTGGATTTTCATGTGCAGTGTAACTTAACACTTTATTTTAACTATTATGACTAAAAATGCAAGACATAAGAGACGCATATATTAGATACAATAGAAGGCACAATGTTTCGACTTATATTTCGAGTTCTTTTCAATGAGTTAACTAAAAGAAGATAAACCATTTGGTTCATTAAACCATAACCATATTTTCTGAGTTTAAACTTAGCGCTAGCGAGGCCCACGGCGACGACGTAAGGAACATAAAGCTTCACTCACTCGCTTACTTGCACACTCGTGCACGCACGTACGCATACGTTCTTCCACATGACTTTCATCCACATCCACAGGAACATACGCGAAGCTTATACACCAATGTTCAAATGAGCATAACTCTGCGAAAAAAATCGTAGAGACCTCAACGATCTTACGTTTTTCTATTCTCGAAAAGTTCTTTCAAATGCTCTCAATCGAGCTCTCACTCGATCTCACATGCCATTTAAGATTTTCAACCCTCCTCCCCCGCCCCTACCAATAATGTAGCCTAGTTAGATCATTAGATTTATTGTTTTTTATGGAAAAATATAAAAAAAATATTTTTATAAGAAAACTGATTTTTAGAGGATATAAGATATAATGCTTGTAGATTGATTTCTCAAAATATCTTATTAGCTAATAATCAGAAGTTTGAAAGAAGATTATATCACTTTTTAGATAAAAAGGAATATTTTCAAACATTTAAAGATTTAAGAATTCGTTCTATACACGTATATTTAAATGGAAACGACAGATCCTACTGTTTCTACCGTCAATCTGTCATCAGATTATTGAGTTTCCATTTGCAATATGTCAAGTAAGCAAATTTTGTTATATTTTCGTGAATTTTATCATTGAATATAATAGGTTCTATATTAAAATATATACATAAGAGGAAAGGATAATTGTAAAGGAAAGGGAGCTACAAAGAGAATGGGAAGAAGAAAGAATCGGACAGGCGACATATAATAAGAAATACAAGGAAATAAAGACAGAGAGGAAAGGGCCAAGATATTTATGGAAGGTTAATTTAGGGAAGACGAAGAGGGGGAGAGGAGTAAAGGCGTTGGCGAAATTGAGATGTGGAAACTTAGAGGAAGACAACAAATATTGGTTGAAGGAAACAGTTAGGGAGTGTGTATTTTGCGAAAAAGAGAAAGATAGACTGGAGCATTATGTGTAGGATTGTGAGATA